TTTTAATAATTGTTAATTTTATTTATGGGTTTTAATCATTATGCTAGGATGTTTCCAGTTTTTATATGTATTTGTACAGTTATGTATTTACTTGTTGGAAGTGGCCCCTAGGCTTATGTGAAGGGGGCGGCATACATGAATTCCAAATAAATAAATAAATTTAGACAAAGGCATTAAGATGGCGGCATAAGACCATTGCGTTTAAAATCTTAAATCGTGGCAAGCCAACACTGCTGCTTTGGGAACGCTCCTGCGCATTCTCCTGAGTGGGGCCCTGGACATCTGCCCCAAAGTCTTGCCCAAGTCTTGCCCTAGTGCTGCATATCCTGGAACTGAGCTGTGGCATTTGAACAGCTGCTGGGGCACAGCCTGGCCCAGGTCGAGCTCAGCTTTAAATAATAGTCAAATGAGGTTTCAGAAGAGCTTACAAAAACACCAGGAACAAATTGCATTTTCTGTTAGTTGCTCTTCATTTCCAGACACCTGCAATGGAGGGTGTGCTAGACCTAAACTCTTTTTGGTTGCCTTGTTGTCATTGCTATGGGCCATCAAGTCATCTCTGACTTACGACAACCCTATCTATGCAAGCCAGAATGTCCTATCCATGACAGCCCTGCTCCACTCTTCCCAAGTCAATCCATCTCCGATTTGGTCTTCCTTTTCTCTTTCTTCCTTCAACTTTTCCCAGAATAATGGTCTTCTCCAGGGAGTCTGGCCTTCTCATGGGGGCACCCGTGTAGCTTCCAGAAACCAGCCATTAGCAGAACTGACTGTTCCACAATTGTGCTGTCACAACACACACATATCTCCAGACCAGTCTTTATTTTGGAACTGCAACTCCAGCAGCCCCAGCCAGCAAAGCTGATGGTGAGGGATTATGGGAATTCTAGTCCAATGACACATGGGGATCTGCCAGTTGCTATTGACCCTAAAATGCAGGGGCAGCAAGACCAAAGAGTAATTCTGTGTGATTTCCTGCTCCACACGCCCATCCTTGCACCATGGCTGATTCTTCAGTGTCTTATGTTTTCACGCTATGTCTGTAAACATCCTTAGTCATTTATGATATTTTGACATCATGGAGTGGGTGGAGAAGCACAATTTCAATTTTTTACCTCAGTCACCAGGATGTCTTTAGCCAATCTCTGTCTCACACACGTCTGTTACCGAGGATAAGCAAAATGCTAAAAGTAATAGGCTTATTTATATATTGTATTTTTAAAGCACTCAGTAGACAAAATTATCTAGATGATACACAATACCTTAAAAACACACAGTACAAACATTAAAAATAAAAACAGCTCAAAATAAAACCAAACCAGCAGCAAAGAATAAGACCATTATAACCTCATATAACCAAGTTAAAACCAGAGCAAAAAGCACCAAAAGCCATTCTTAAAATGCCTGCTAGAAATTTTTAAAAGGCCTAAATGCCTGGCACCAAAAGGACCGTGATGCACAGGTTCAGGTTCAGTATGGCATGACAGTGATGACCTAAACCATGAAGTGTTTTTGAGCAGCAGAGAAGAAATGGTTGGCTGGCACTCTGCGTGGCGTTCAGGCACACAGAACAGCTTCATGCCACCGATCTGTGACCTGGGAAGGGTTCGGCTTCGAAAGATTTGGTTACCAAATCCGACTTGGAGTTTCTGTGACATTTCAGCAGTGCTGCATGTGTTGATAGTGCTGTAAAAGGAACGGAAAGCTAGCTGCTTGGTGGAAGGAAAAGCGGAAAAAGGGAACATAACACATTCATGGATGATGCATTCTGGACACATGAGTGATGTGTCCCCCGGATCTGCAATGCCACCAGAGAGCTAGAAGTTGTCGCTTTTCTCCAGTCACCTCCTGTAATGAGGGGAAGAAAACTCTCGGGAAGGATGGCCCCAGACATGTTGCTCCAGAAAGTGAAGGGAGACATCATGTCTACTCCTCTTCCACAAAGGAAACCAGCCAAAACTTCTTTCTGCATTGTAATGGAACAGCATCCTCGCTGCAGCCGAGGGCAACAGGCAAACTTAAGCCAGGTCATGGACAGGTCCAGTTTGGTCTCCTCCAGGCCCCTTGGCATTTGGTGTCTGAAGTAGCTGCCTCTCCCTGGAGCAGCCTTGCACCCTGGGATTTCTGATGTGTCCTTGTTCCAGAGAGCTAGCATGATCAACACATACAGAGTCATATATCTAATTGCTCGATGGTTTAGCACAATACAACCTGTTGCCAAGGTAGATTATGATACACCAACAGAAGGCAACATCCAGTGACACATGACAGACTGGGTGACTGAATGCTTCTGACTCACAAACTTCTATTCTACGCATGCCTGGCACCTGGCCCTTGAGCTAAACAACTCCAGATTAATCTAGGATCCTCCCCAGTGCTCGACGCCTGGGAGAATAGGATACGAGAAACATAAACACATTCCAATGTATAACTGAAGACTCAACATAAATCAGCATACTTGATAATGGCACCATGAGAAGAGATGGGACATGTCACCCAACTCCTTGCCATGCAATAATCTTCTGCATGTTTCCAGTGCAGTAGTTTGATGAAATTCCAGTCCTTTTAGCCAGAAAGCAAAAGACCATATGGTCCAACATCTTGCTCTCCATAATGATCCAAAGAGATGCTTAAGATAAACTGCATTTTTACCCCAATGACAAGTTCACAAATTGTGCCTGCACAAGATTCCATTTAGCCATCATGACTAGTAGCCATAAATGGATTCTGCCTCACATGAACAACTTTCTTCTATCTGTGCAGAACCTTCCACAAACCCATTCCCTTGGTGACCCACAGTTCTAGGATTACAGCAAAGGGAGAAAAAGTTATACTTTTTCCATACCATCTATAAAGCTTTATCATGTCCATCTTTAATCATCCTAAAACTGAAGAGTCCCAAATATTTTATCTTTTCCTCATAGGAAAAGTGTGCCAACATGTCATCATTTGGGTTACGTCTTCCTGCCCTTTTTGAGGTGGTCTGACCAGATGGCTAGACACTATTCTAAATGTGACAGTGCTGCAGATATATAAAAGCCCAGGACAGTGTAGATATATAAAAACTTATGACAATAAATCCCAGCATGTTATTTGCCTCCCCAAAAACCCAATCATCACACACCAACTTAATGTTTTAATTGAAATATATGCACAATGCTGAGATCCTGGTTTGTCCTAGTTAGTCACCATCTAACCTAGTTACACCACATCAACATGTATGAAATCTGCCACACCCCAATATGCATCACTTTACGTTGACCTCATTTGCCATTCTTTTTCCCATCCCTCCCAATTTAGAGAGTTCCTCTTGGAATTCTTTCCAGGATACTTGGGTTTCCACCATCCTTAACATTGCCTCTCATAAGCTGACTTCTCAGTGGTCAACCCTGAATCCAGATAATGTATGCAGAAGCTAAACATAGACTGCTTCCCGTATGGATCCTTAGGAAACCCCACAACTCTTGGGCTCTTCTATTTACCTCCCTCCTAGCAGGCTTCCAGATAAAGCTTCTGTTCTGCAGTCATCCTGTTTCAACCTAAGTGCGGGATCTAGGCATTATCATGTTCCAAAAATTTAGCTGTGTCTTCTCACCATTTCTCCCATCATTTTTCATATCAGAAAAAATGGATATGGAGGAAAATGCTGGCAGAAAGGAGGATCACAATCTATTTTGGTTTGTAGTGCTTGGAGCTCTCCATCTAGAGGCACCCATCCCATTTCCTGTTATATAAGCAGTTACCAGTTGGGAGAAGAGGCATCCTCTAATTCTCTTAAGACTGCTGAGCTTAGCAGGAGCACTTGGTGAAAGAAGCATTACAAAACTCTTCTCCAAACGTACACAGTGCTTTCCATTGAGCATACATTATCATTTACACAGATTGCAACAACAAAACCACACAATAATAAATACTAATGGGCAATAAAGCTACTCAGTCTGCAGTACATGGCGGACCTTAGCCGGTTGTGTCACACTGCGGGAGAGGCGTCTGTGAAGAGATGGATCTCGGCACCTTCAGAGGGCCAGCAGATACTGACTGGTTGGCTGGAGGATCAGGCAGAGGCCCTGCTGCAACATCAGAAAAACCTTCCGAGGCTGCAACAGAGATTCTGCCTTTCGAGGCCACCTTTCCACCCTCTCAGCATTCTGGCAGTGGAATGGGAGGGGAGAGGCACAGCCAGTTTCCACCAGATCCAGGAGGCGAGGTGCCTCATTTGGGCACCCTCCTTGTGAGGAGGGTAGAAATATCCAGGCAGCCAGAATTGGTCATCTAAATGTTTTGGAGGGTGGAGGAAGGCTGGAAGCAATTCCCGCCTCCCTAACCCTCCCACACTTGATTGGATGTCTGCCACTTTCCATGAGCAAAAGGTTGTGGACACCTACATAGGATTGAGACCTTACAAGTGTTTGGAGAAAAATAAATAAAATCCTACAGCTCCCAGCATTCCCCAGCTAGCATGCCTTGCTGGGGAATGTTGGGAGATACAGGATTTCTTTCTGTCTGGATGTGCATAGGATTGCATCCTATACATAAAAACTGCTGGAGGCACATCTAATGAACACTGGTATGCCTTGAGAGGTTGGATGTTGAGGCATTAAATGTTGTACTGCAAGGATTCCTGGGGTGAACCTCAGGAATACGTAAGGACATCGGAGGTGTGCCTTCTGGAGACTGCAAGACCAGGGAGGGACATGGGGTAAGGCACCTCGCAAGGAAAATCAAGTGGCATTTTTAATATACATTTGTTTATTTATACATGTATTTATAGGCTGCCTATAACCGCCGAGGCCTTCCTATATGGCTTATAATACATAAAACATATTAACAAAGTAAAATGCATTAAAACCAATTAAAACACAATGAATTAAGACATCTATAAAAGCAATATAAAAAGGATCACAGCATTCAGGCTGTTAAAAAAATCCTAAAAAGGGACTTCACTAACAGCAGTATTTTTCCTCCCACTAGACCGTAAGATCAAAGCACATCTGGCAAGAATGGAAATGACTTCACAGCCCATCATCACTCAGCCACAATGCCACAGAACCACGCGCAGCTTCGAGTGGCAGACCAATCTCTGTGACTGTGGAAGCGACTGCCGTATCTGTGAGTGAACGCCTTGGGTCTGGGCCTGACACGCTGCAGCACTTCGAATCTCCACCACAGTTTGTCCTTCCTTTGGAAGTGTCGGCAGTCTGTCCGTCAACGCCGGTCACTGGCATTCCCACCACACTCCAGTCACAGTTTCCGAGGCAGCTTTGCCTCTTGCGCACATCTTTCGATTCTTCTTCTCTTGTGCCCACAACACCTTCACCTTCTCCAGCTTTGGCTTTAGTTGGCAAGGATGCACCATGTCCTACAACGACCTTCCACAACCTGGCGCCCTCCAGATGCCCTGGACTCCAGCTCCCATCATCCCTGCCCAGCATGGCCAACAGGGATGCTAGGAATTGTAGTCCAGAACATCTGGAGGCCATTGAGCGGAGAAGGCTTCTCTACTGTGTGGGAGCCACTCCTGTGCCAAAGACTGCACATATATCACATATCCAGATGGATGGGACCCATCCCCTGCACCTTGCCAGTGAATTAATTACCCTGCTGGAAGGGCCCTGTGGTCAACTGGGTGACCATGGTGTGAGCTGAAGGTTGGGCTGGGTGCACTCCTGATCTGATCCAGCAGGCCTCTTCTTAAGTTCTTGATGTTGCCTGAAATGGCCCTGGGAACAAGCTCCTCCCATGGGTTGTTATTCACAGAGCTTGCATTGTACAAGTGCTCCACACAGAAGTGGCTTCCATGCTCTCGCATGCACATGTGGAAGGGACTTGAGAGATGCTCTCTTCTGCGGCAGGTCTTTGCTGCTGCTGTGGCTGCAAGACTTTCCCAAGCCATGGGCACATGGACGGAAGGATCACTTTTGCGTGCAGCTGTTTTCCCAGCAAGCATGTGGTGCACTCATGCCTTGACGAGAGATGGATGGCAGTGCATATGCTCCTTAGCTCCAAGCGCAGAATGGGTTTCAATCTGGAGTAAACCAAAGCTGATCTTTACAGGCTGGGACAATTTCCAGAGCAGGCATCTGTCAGGGCTCAGTGAAGTCAGCTGCGAGCAGAAGTCGCAAGCTAAAGTCATAAACAGAGAGGCTCTTCCCAGAGAGATGGGAAGTCTAGAAGTCAGAAGGGAAGCGTGGTGAAGCACATGAGTCTCTAAATAGCTGCTCTGTGTGCAAAATGGCTCAGATGTACCAGGAACCAAGGCTGAAGCAACGGTTTCAGGAGAGCAGCCGGGTTCCTTTGGTCTCTCAAGTTGCGTGATGCTCTAGTTCCTCTCTGCTCAGCACTGGTAGAGGCCATTGAGAAAGCTCTAGTGGTCATGATACAAGAGCAAGTAGCTCGAATGACTCGGAACAACCTGTCCTTTATTCATCCCAAGCCATCACCCGGAATGGCCCTTCTCTTACAATAAGTCTCAAAGACTCACTGGCTGCTTGAATGTTGGAAGGAAACCTTGTCTGATCTCTCTTTAGGCTGCTGTGGAACATTCTGCTTCTTCTGTCTGGGATGCAAAATTGCCAAGGACATGGACGAATGCTGCTGCTGTGGGCCGAGTGTGGCCATGAGGACTCGCTACCGGACTCTGTACAGGATACCGGCAAGTTATCTGACCATCATATCACGTCCTTTTGACATGGCCTGCCACAGGCAGCCTCGTGAAACAGCAGGGCATTTCCTTCAGAAAAGCGCTCATGTGTTGTTGCTGTTGATGGCCGTGAGCTCGCAGGGAAGAGTCTGCGAATTGTGTTACAGGCAAGACATGGCCCATGGGTAGCCGTGGGCCAACAAGGATTAAGGAGCTTGAAAGGCTGGGGCGCAGCAGTGCATACTTCCAGTCCTGGGCCAATGCCTGGAGAACCGAATGGCCAGTGGAACTGGGCCCCCAGAAGGTTTGTGGAGCCTGGGCAGAAGGCCCATGAGTGCATGGCAGGAGGGGGGAGTGTCTGCCCCGTGGGCTCAGTGCAGCCAGGTAGGCTGCCCAACCCGCCTGCAGAGGTCTCTGCCTACGCCCTGCCCCCTTTGCAGTACTTTTTCTAGAACTGGGACAGGAAGCGCCACTGTCCTCTCCAGTCGGCGATCCTGCTGGCCCTGCTTGCTGGGGATGGTAGGTTTAGCAGTTTAAAACACCTGGAGGGCTCCAGCTTAGGGAAGGCCAGGTAAAGCAAAACAGAGTCTCTCCAAGAGAGCAATCTACTTGGCTATGCATGTTTCCATATTCCCAAACTTTAATCAGCTGCGTGGTTTTATACATGTTGGACCCTGTCCACTCCCTATGGTACACACATGTGCAAAGTTTTTCTCCAAAAAAAGCTGATTTTGAGGAACCAGTCTCTACTGTTCACCTGGGCACTGTTGGGACCACCTGGGCGATTTGGGACCTGCATCACCGGAGACCCCCACCCTGTAGTTCTCTGAGTTTAACAAGGCCGGCATGGATTAGTTGCCAGTGTGCAAATGGTCTTACGCCAGGGTATCTGGAGTAATGCGCCTCAAAAGGGGGCGCTTGCTCCCCAGATCGCCTTGAAAAGCTTGGGACCTTTTGCTGGGTTTTAACCTCCACAGCCAGAGAGAACAAGCTCTGGATTTGCATCCACACAAACACCCACGGCACTTAGAAGGGAAAAGGACACTTTTATTCACCAGAAAAACATAGAACAGTCACGAGGTTTAGCCCCGTATAGCCCAAACAGCAAATACACCCATTACATCCCAATCTTACTCTGTATCTTTAAAGAGAGAAAGAACTTCCTACTGAACGTAGAGTGAAACCGACAGAAAGGATTCCCGCTACAGGGTTCCATTTCCTGTTTTACAGCAGTTGAGCTTGTGTGTCTGGAGATGGAGGAGAGAGGAGCAAGACCACTCCTTTCTAATGCCCTGCTATTTATACCACTTCTTTCTGAACATGTGGCTTATGGGAAAGATGGCTTCCCAGGCTTATGCTGAATGCTGGAATGGGGCTTGATGGCCTCTGGATGGCCATTACTTGGTTTCTCTTGCTAAGAGGTGAGATCCTTGTCTGTGGTTGCCAGGTGCTATAGACGAGGTAATTTCCAGGTATCTCAGGAAAACCTTCATCCTCCTTGCAAGGTTGTTTTGCCTAATCTCCTTAACAGGACAATCGCCTGACCTTTGTCCGCTAGAATTCCACCTTCCCCTCTTTTCTCACATGGGCCAGCCCAGGATGTGAGGTCCTTTCTTCCGGAATTCATGGCTTCCCATAGCCTAAAGGCCCATTCTGCCCTGGGGTTTATGGTTAGGGTGCCAATATCGACATATACACGCATCACAACGGGTGTTTCTAGCTTTGAGCAGTGGGGGCATCTCAAGGGAAGCAGCAGCTGCCTTTCCCCGGGTCTCTTCTGCAGCAGTCCCTCCCGCCGTGCACAGTTCTTACTTCTGGTCTCTCCTCCATATGGAAAAAGGTTACAAAAAACCGAGCACCGTCTCCCTTGGCAATCAGGTGTAAATATGGGCCTGTAACAGGATGCATTTTTGTACTCTGCCTGCAGGGATCCATCTGCTCAGACTGTCTTGCTGCTACTTGCTGTGCTCCCTGCAACCTCTGCCAGCTCAAGAGAGATATCAACAGGAGGCAAGAGCTGGGGATCTTCTAGAGAGGTTTGTGTTTGCCTATGTGCTAATTAGGGTCACCTGCAGCAGAAAGGAATTCTGATTCCGTGCAATTGTTGTCATTTGTCAGTGCGAGGATTAGTGGGAAGAGCAGACTTGAGTGGAGGCAGATCCACCCCCAACCGCCCGGATTCTGAATTTCCTAACTCAGGCACAAGTGAACTCAGATGCACAGAATTCATTCCACATCACAAGCTCTTTATCCTTCTTTCCTATTTAATTCACTCCTAGACGTCCTGCTTTGATGCATTAAGGTGCACGTCCAGAGAGAAAAAGGTCCTCTGACTCCCAGCTTAACCCCAGTCAGCTCGCAGGTCTAGGATTTTTTTCTGTCTCAACATGCATAGGATTCCAGCTTGAATGTTTTTATTGTGGGCTTTAATATTACTAGTGTTACACACCACAACATTCTATTTTGAATTCCTTCTTGCGTTTCTTTTGTGCAAGTCTGTGTTTTATTTTGTCCTTGTTTAAACAAGACATTGTTTTTTCTAAAGGAAGACTTCTTTTCTCTAATGGCTTCGTCGATACTAGCTTTGTTAAGCAGCTTTGTTAAGCATGCTGGGGCGTTCCTTGGCTTGATGGCAAGTATTGTGCTTGCCACAATTGTTGCCATGATAATAGATGGCAAATCTTTTATTGTGCTTTGAGGAACTCCCAAAAGTCCTAGAGAGATCTGAATTTCTGCACTGTCCTTTCCAACTTCCTTTTTACCAGTCCCAGTTTTGCAAGATTCCCCTGTTGAAATGAAATCTGATGCTTTGCTTCCATTGACAACTGGTATTTTATAGGAATTACATTTGTTGGTACTGTGTTCACCACTCCCAGTAAGTTCAACAACACTCAAATCATGCACTTAGAATGAAATCCAGGGTGGCCTCCCCTTCAGCAAGTTCCATTTGAGGACAGTTAGGGTTGCTGCAAAAGTTGTTTTTTGTCGTGAAGGAGCATCCATTTATCGAGCCGATGGCTGTATCCACACACAACGCTGAGCAACGCCATGTGGGAACCATGCTACGAACATGGTCTCTCACGGTGCCACATCCGCATGGTTTCTTGCAGCATTTCCATGCATCTCCACCTTCCCTCCAGTGGGTAGCATGCACGCATCCCTCCGGCCCCATGCGGCTGCATCCATCCCAGGAGTCACTGCTCCTGCCTGCCTCTCCCTCATTGGTCCACACTTTCCCTGGGCGTGGCCTTGGCCTTGGCCTGCTGCCTCCCCCCCCCCCGGTGTTGTTTTCTGCTGCTCTGCAAAGGAACTGCCTAGCACTAGAGTAGCACCGTTGCTCTAGAGCAGCCTCCCTGAACCTTTTGCTTTCCAGACACATTTGGACTGCAGCACCCACAAGGCGCAGTCAGTGGCTCTGCCGGATGGGGATTTTATTTATTTATTTAAGCCGCCGAAGCCTCGGGGCAGCTTACAACAATAAATTAAAAGTAATTATAATATAAATTACAATAAATATAAACATTAAATTAAAAATACAAAATACAATATAAAATAAGCTGCCCTGGCCAGATAAAATCTAGTAATGCTAACAGTTAAAATGCCGCTTGAATAAAAAGGTCTTCGCCTGGCGCCGAAAAACAAATAACGATGGCGCCAGGCGGACCTCTCTGGGGAGCGCATTCCATAACTTAGGCGCCACCGCTGAGAAAGCCCTCCTCCGAGTACCTACCCTCCTAATTTCTTTCACGGAGGGTTCCCGGAGAAGGGCCTCTCCCGCTGATCTCAAGGGGCGGCCGGGCATATATGGACGTAAGCGCTCCTTCAGGTAACCAGGACCCAAGCCATTTAGGGCTTTATAGTTCATCACCAACACCTTGAATTGGGCCCGGACTTCAATGGGAAGCCAGTGAAGCTGACGGAGAACTGGAGTCATGTGAACATAACGTCCAGTCCCCGTCAGCAGCCTGGCAGCTCTATTTTGCACCAACTGTAGTATCCGAACCGTCTTCAAGGGTAGCCCCACGTAGAGCTGTGGTACCAATGCCTCTGGTTGGTACACAGTACCAACAAATTTAATGCCAGGTTGGGGAAGGCTGCTCTAGAAGAGAACTGCAAAATTCTCCCGGCTGCTGCCCCACTCTGTGCTGATGTGCAAGCACACACATCCACTGCTCCCCCCTCGCTGCACATGTGTCCACACTCCCCCTCCATGTGCAAGACTCACTCACACTGCCAGGGGCTGTCTCCCCCTGCACCCAGGAGGGCATCCATGTAGGCATAGAGGGAACATGCCTGCACCCTGGACCAGACGCTTCCCCAGGGCACATCCTCAACATGAAGCTCTACTGACAGTTGTCAGAATCCCGGAATCTCAATTTGAGAAGAGTAAATAAAACTGGGGTTCGTGGGAAAGATCAAGTGTCCAGACCATCTGAGGCTTTATTGTATTACCCCAAGGTTCCCGCGGTACGTGCATTACCGGGCAGGCAGAGGTGAACTCTGCTGCAAAGCTTCAGTACCATTACAGGGCATTTACAGGTACACAGGTACAGGGCAATTAATGACAGAATACAGACATTACAATACGATTCTGAGGTCATCACATGCAGAACAGATAAAGGAATGTCAGTCAATCATACAGAGACAATGAGATTACAATATTTCTAATTGCCTGTATTGACACTTTAGTTCAGTAGCTTGAACCCATCTCCAGGTCTGCTTAGACATGTAAATTCAAGCTACTGAGAAACTATTCATGATAAGCTCAGACTCTTATCTAGACTCTAAACATTCTGAGTGACCAGGGCATATGAAACCCTGGGCTAGGAAGATACTTCCTTGTAAAACTGAATTCCAGCAATGATTATTTAATCATTGTGAAGGTATCCAATGTAAATTTGGACTAAATGGCCTGTGTACTGTAGCTTGCAGCTAAAGGTGAGAGAAAGGAGCAGGGGAGGAAGGCCATTTGAAACAGTGACTTAGCTTGGTTTGAGAAGTACAGGCTTTGATCCCACAATGCAAAAAGCACACAGAAGAAATGTTTTTCTGACAGGATTTATCCAAATTTTCCCAACACCTCCCATGGAATGCATCCTTTCGAAGGGATCATTTCCATTTTCTTTGAGTCACTGTTTCCTTCCATTGAGCCTTCATTCTCTGTGGCTCCAAGGAGGAGTCACCCTGGGGCTGGGTGCCACCTTCACAAGCCGAAGGCTGCGTATCCATGGATCCTTTGCTCCATCTCAGCTTCTGCAATCAAGGGAACAAAGTTGCTCACCAAGCAGCTGGCTCTTATTGCACTCAGTCCCTGGCCAGAAGGCCGTTACTCATCCCTGTGACATTTCTCAGACACTTTGGCTATGTCTCAACAAAGACTTCCTAGAAATTGTAAGCAGGCCATTTAGTAAGCTCAGGGGGACTGAGGCCACAAGCAGTGAAGGTATATTTAGAAATAAGTAAGTAAGAAACTAGGCAGTAGCACCCATTCGGGGGCTTTGCTAGGCCCCATAAGTGGCTACCCCTACATCTGTTTAATGGAGACCTGAGAGTCCAGTGGGATCTGCCAAGAGTATTTTTCTCATTTTCCTTCATTGCCATTATCAAGGGGAATTGAAGCTGGAGAAGGAAGAATAAAATGAGTGGGAAGAAGGTGAAGGGAAATGTCTGGAAAGGTTCTAACACTTTCAAAGCATTCCCACCACTAAGAGTGCCAAACACATGGAACTTGGTAGCACAAGGAAACCGCCTGAGCCCTGGAAGAATGGTCTCAACGGGAGGATGGAAGCATGTCCAGCCTTTTCAGGGCATGCTTAAATTCTCTGAAAATCACTACAAAAGTCATTAGGTTCACTTCCGTTTTCATGTTTGACCTATATTTCTGGCTGGGAAAGAATGCAGGAGGCATTTCTGAGTCAACGCAGTCGTGGCCTCCAGCACCTGCAGCTGCGACAGGTAGCCGGCATGGCTCTCTCCACCCACTCGGCCCCAGAGCTGTGCCAGAAGGTCAAGGCAGTTGCTGCACCTGCGGTTTCGGTTTTGGCCGGTGTGGTGACAGTTGTTCTGCTCTGGATCAGAGAGGAATTAAAATAGGGAAAACCTCTGATTGCTTAAGGGCTGCACTCTGCAACTTGTGACTGCCAGCAGACTTAGATGGCTTTTCTCTTTTTCTTTCCAAATTAGACATTCCTGCATTTATTATTTCAGATGTTCCTGTTTCCCCGAACATGATGGATTTCTTAACTTGGTGCTGAGTTGCGCAATCTGCTGCATTCCAGAATTCAGTGCTAGGAAATCAAACAAGCGAGTTTTTGGGGCTTGGCGGCGGGGGAGGGGGACAATAGCCAGATGGGAGTCTGGTGGTCAGAAGTCTTTGCATAAGGACAGAATTTTTGAATAAAAGTCTTCTAAATCGCCAGTGGCAGGTCAAGTATGGGCAAGCCCTCACAGAGCATAATAGTCAAGGCCTCCCTCGTCCGGCATTCCGTCTGCGAAGTGGTCAAGCAGGTGCTCCTTGGAAGCCCACAAGCCAGCCATGTGGACAATAGCCCTTTCCTGTTGTTGCTCCTGAGCCAGTGGCATTTAAAGGCATGTTGCTCCAGGCGCGGAACCATCACCACGAGTAGCCATCCGGAGCCATCCAAGAGCCATCCGCTGGAGTGATCCTTGCATTGTTATATTGCAAGTCTATTCTGCCTTTCTTCCTCTTGCAAGGAACCAAGTCAGCCTCCAAGCACCCCTGCTCCCCATTTTATCCTCACAACAATCCTGAGAGTAGGTTGGGCTGAGATTCTTTGACTGACTCAAAGTCATCCAGTGCAAACTTTATGGCCCAGCAAGGACCAGAACCCAGATCTTCCAAGTTTCAGTCCACATTCTAACCACTATACCACACTGTCTCTCAATTGGCTAATAGGTGTCAGTTCCCACATCAATTGCTTAAGTTATTTATTTATTTATTTCATTTTTATACCTCCCAATAACTGAGGCTTTCTGGGTGGTTAACAAAAGGTCACACACACACACACACAC